GCCGTAGTAAGACAGAGGCAGTAGTGATGGCTGCTGATGATCTGGCTGGGCCCTGCACTGCGGCAGAGACTGTGTGTGAGACAGGGAGAGGGTGGAAGTGTCTGTGGGTCTGCTGCAGAGGCAGACGCCTCATCAGTAATCAGAGAGCGATGCTCGCTTTCCCTCCTCAGGAGGTGTGTGTTCACACACATTCAGACAAGGATAAGAAACCCTAACTGAAACAGTGATCTGGTTTTTAGGATTGCAGCTCACCGTTCTTTCAGAGACACTTTGAGAAAAGGTGCATTATGGGATGCTGAGATGTTTTTACACAAGACCCACCTGTCAGAACAAGATCATGTCAATAGGCTCTATCAGCTAAAAATGTTGCTTTTGACCATCCTACCCTAGAAATGTAGACCTTGTTGACTGTATCCAACAATTAAAATCATACACCAAAGTCGTATTTTTCACATTATCTGTTGAATCAATATTCAATTCAGTGTATTTAAAACACTTTTTTATTTTTTCTTGCTGTTTTTATTAATACTTGAGGTGCACAAAAGAGAAATGTCAAATATGTTTATAAAATAAAACATAAAATATATTTTTCATCTATAACTATTTTAAAACTATTAATTCATATTAATGGCACCAAAAAAAAATCCAGTTACCACCTGATTTTACCCATTACAAAAATGAACATTACTTACATTTTTGTTATCCATGAGCTGAACCATTTCTACAAGACAGGAAGGCAATAAAACTAAAATAATCAAAAATTAATAGTGAATAATTGTATGTTCTCAGTTTTACCCAAGTTATTGACCAAATATTATTAAACAAACTTTTTTTATTTTGTTTTATTTATGGATTATATAGTATACATCCATTACTAACAATATTAATATTATTGAATCATTATTATTAACTTTTACTTTAAATATAATTTAAAAGTCTATTTAATTTGAATGATTGGTTTATTGCTAGAAAATGTTTGCTAGAAAAATCTCATTTTTCAAAGCATCTTTGTGACACTTTCATATAGACTCAAATGTCTGCATAGCCTACTAATAATGATTAACTATTAATAATAATAATAATCATTACATAACTAGAAATGTAACTTATGAGGGCAATGTCATTGCAACAAGCAAATTATGTAAAATAAGCAACAATGGAAACAAATCCGTTTCCTACCCAGCAATTTTGTCTGGTTCTTAGACTGTGCCATGATGCCTGTGGCCCTAAACCATATCTGTTCATAGCCGAGTGAGCAATTCCTTTCCCTGTGTCTGTCCAGATGTTGGCCTAATTTGCTATGACTATCAGCGTATGCAGTTACAGCTCCCTCTCCATGCATATGTGTAAGTATATGCTCCTGTTTTGTGCTAGCGGACACTAGAGCGGGCTGAGGTGAGACTGGACCCTTAGGTCCTTGTACGTTCACTGCATGTGTCTAGCATGGCATTTAACAATAACCTAGATCCTTCTAGCATGCTTTCATACGCGCTGTTGAGTGGATCAAAAGCACCGCAGGTGTTCAAGAGGTCAGAGACCCCGTAAACTCACTGATTTGAAGCAGGAGGGCAGTGCTTTTGATAAACTCCCACACTGACATCACTGAAGATTCTCAAAGTTGTAAATAAAAATGATTGGAATACATTTTACAATACTATTTTAGTCTTTCTATTTCAAAATTTTAATGTTTAATTCAATGGCCCTTTACTGGGAAATAGAGATCATATATGAATAGGAAAAAAGATTGTTCTGATGTAAGAAGTCTGTTTTGGGTCAGTCATAAAGCTCTGTCAGAGATGTTTACAGTAAGCTCCACTGCTTTTACATTTTTTTCTATGTAAACATGAGCTAGACGGACATCTGACCATTGCACCTCGTCTTGCGCATAAGACCCTGTCAAAGTCCCTTAAAGGCGAGTCATTTCACTCGGTGGCCATCTTTGAAACGCCTTGCAGGCAGCTATTTCAGTCATGCAAGTATAGCTTATATCTCTTTGAATGAGGAAACATATTCTTCAGATCTGTTTACCGAGGTTACAATTAGCCTACATTTCATATTTGAAATCACCAATTAAATCTGATAACACCTGTCTCTACAATTTTGTTTCTTCTGCTCAAATAGTATTGAAAAAGGTTTTTTTTAAGGCTAGACCAGCCAATATTATTACTAACCTACTGTATAAAGACCTTATTATTCGCCAGAGAAATGAGTGTGCAGCCATCTTTAGAATTCTGTCTCTGAATTTCCGTTTTTACGGTAGCTGTATAGCATCTCTGTAGTTATTATCTGGTGAAGTGGTTACCTATTGTAAAGTTAAAGAAAGTTATCATGTGCATTATTATGTTCAAAGCAAATGTCATAACAAATGTCAGTAGACTAGAACAATTTTAAAACAAGTGGAATCATTCATAAATTTGTACGACCTTACCTTTATGCTGTGGAAATACAAAGGGAAGATAGAAAACAAGGAGCACAACGCTGGAAAGGGGCGGAGCTACATAAGTATTCGAAAAACAGTAGGCAAAAAGTACTACTTCTGGCGAGTTCCTGAAGTGCCCCAGATAGCACACATATGTCTGCAAGATGTCTTTTAAAGATCGCTTGATCTGGAAAGCATCTGGTGTGTACAAACATCTGACAGACATCTGTAAGACAGCTAATAAACGTCTATTTGACATATGATGAAATGTCCTATAGACGTATCGCAGAGGAGCAAACACTAAAAAATATGTCTTGCAGATATCAAATAGACGTCCCTGTGATGTACATGTGCTATCAGGGTGTGCAAATAATGGACACTTTACTATCCCATGAGGCCATGGGAAAGGATTTGTGAATGGCAGTGAAGCCATGCAACTGATGCTGGTAGGTCATGTGATAGTAACAACATTGTGGATGTAGTACGAGTTCATACTACCCATATTCATACTATATAAAACACACTTTTTAACGGTCGCAAAGTTTGTTCAAATTCAAATGTAGTATATTCAGACAGTATGCGATATCGGGTTTCTATAGCAAACAGATCTTCTAACGGCAGTTACATGATGAATTTACCAATTAGCGATTGGCTCTTTTATTTAGAAGGCAGTAGTGTTCCGCCTTATTGCGAGTTGCACTTTCTCCCATTCATGAGTAATATAGTGCACACCAAGCCTTTTTGGCATATTCTTTTCATCATTGTGTAGCCTACTATAATAAATGACTCTTGTGTTTTTAAGAGAAAAAACAAGTTCTGTGTGATCATCCCCTTACACCTGTGCAATAGCATCTTACTGGTAAAAAGATGAAACACCGTCGCTTGTGTAAACAGCACTTTTGTGTATTTTCCAAAAAAAATAAATTGGGCAATTTTATGGCAATTTACCAGGTTTAATGTGTAAATGGGGCCAATAGCCTAATGTTACTTGCTTTTTTGTATGTAATTTACTAGCATCTTCTGAGTGAAAATTATTTCTACACAATTTTGTAGTGTGTTTGAATTTAAAATTTAAAGTCATGCTAGTCCTCTGTAGCACACTAGATTAAAACATTGTAATGTACAAAAGGTAATTTCACAGATGGTCAAGGGACTTAACGTCTGCAAATAGCTCCTCTATAAACAAGCATCACGCTAGCACTTCTTTAATCTAATGTTCTACTTTGTTGGATAAGCCTTAAGAGATGTTGCTTTCATAATGGAAAGCTCATTTTACATGCGCCCAATGAATAACTTCATTATGGTTGTCTTTGTAGAGCCGTTTCCCAGTGAGATTGGAAGCTGGGCTGTGTGGATGTCTCTTGGCTGCTGAGTCGGGGTCTCCACCTCCTGGCAGCATTCCTCTTTTGGACACTGGCAACAGCTTGTGTCCCACGCCCCTCCCAGATGTTGTGTCTTGAGACAGATATGCACCCCAACTCGATATCCAAGGAATCTAGGTAAGTATGTGGTTAAGGCGGGAGATGTCTTATGGCTGATATAATGGAGGAACGTGCCAACACGACAGCCCACCTGGCATCCAAACAGTCGATAAGGGACGCTAACAGAAGGAGAGCTTGTATTTTATTGATGGATTTGTGTCAACTGTAAAAATGCTACAATATTTGCTGAATGTAAGACAAGTAATCTCATTAATTGATAAATTTACCTACTTGCTTAACACCAAATATTAGAATGATTTCTGAAGAATCATATGAGAAGACTAGAGTAATGGCTGCTAAAAAAACCAATCTTTCACAGGAATAAATTAAATTATTAACAAATCCAATTAAAAAATTTGTATATATAAATGAAGTCTAGGTGAGCATAAGACTTTCAAAAACAAACAAAAAATTTGATTACCTCATTTTTAACAGTAGAATATATTATAACATTAAGCAGTCTTAAAAGTTTGAGTACAATATTACAATATACAATTATTTATGTAGATTAATCAAATGTATCTATATAAAAAGAAAAAGACAAATTAAACATATGACTTTCTTAGTCAAAGAAACACCATTTTTGGGCAACTTTTCGTTTGTCCTTGGCTGGAAATTAAATTCAATATTTAAAAAGTATGAATACTTGAGTACACAAAATAAAAAACAAAACAAAAAAATTTGCAACATGTAACTGGGGCCACTGGGGGCTTTTATAGCCTATACTGTAAAAAATGACTATGAATTTAACGGTAAAAGAATGTAAAAATGCTACAGTAAAAACCTGTTAAATGGTTAACGGTAAATTCCCCTAATATATACGGTGAAAAACTGTACTGGATGGTTTTACGGTAGTATACCGTTTTTGGAAGTGAAAAAGACCGTATAATTTACAGTGAATAACCGTAAATTGATTTTTTACGGTAAAATTCCGGCAACCACAGCTGCCGGTTTTTTACCATAAATTTTACAGAATTTTTTTTATGTTAATAATGCCAATAGGCATTTTTCTAATTTGCCTTCACAGCAAAGGGTTTAAAATAAAATACTCAAATAAAAATACTCAAATAAAATACTCATATACATTAAAGTCATGTGTGCCATACAAAGGCAAGCTTTATTACTGGAAAGACAAAGGGAGAAGTCATTTTAAAAATAACATTTTGAAATAAAACTGTGAGAAACACAAAACAAAATAGTTACCTCAATAAATTAATCCAAATAAATAGGACTAAGCAATTTTACATCAAGCACATCTTTGTCAATCCACAACAAGAACAAATATTTAATCTTGTGACATTCTTTTAAATGTCTTACAAAGATTACAAAACAGGATATGTACAACTGAAGAACTAGAGGACATGCTTGAAGTGTATTTGTTCCCAATATTGTGCAATGGCAGCATAATGACTGAATGTCCATCTCCATCTGGACGCTCACATTACCCAGAACTTAAACAAGTAAATCAGCAGCTACAATGTCTGACCAGCCATGTGACATGTATACACGCTGTTTATACTCCCTAGCACCCAAAATTCATCTTCAGTTTCTTTATTTACGCAGTCACTAGACAATGCAAAAAGGAATTTGGTGTGTGATCACAGTGGCAGAACTTGTAAACAGCCACGGCAGCTGCTCGCATCTTCCCTTCCACCACTGATGATTGAACAAAATGAGAAAAATATTGACTTCAAGTATACACAGATAAAGCAAAAACAATTATTTGAACAACAGTTAAAAAATGGAAAAATATCTTTCATTAAACAGGACCAGCCTGTTCAGTTTTATTCCAAAAGTCGGCTTCCGTTTCCAGTTTGACCTCGCAGATTCACAAACATCAAAGCTCTTATCAGGTCAGCTGATCCATATATTTAAAAGGTCCAGTCTGAATTTCCTTCCAGTCCATCTGCTACTCATGCATTAACCTCCCTTTATGCTCATGAACAGAACAACAATATTCCTATTTGGTTGAAAAGGAGAAGAAGAAAAAAAACGTGTTGCACTCCAATGGTCATATGCTCATCTAATTACTTTAACAAAGTCTGAACAGAGTCACAATATATTGGCTTGTTTTTACAGCAGTGCTGATGTATATCCACATAAATATATGTATGTCCACAAAGCAGTAGCATGAATTTATAATAGCCTTTTTTGTTTTAATTATTGCCACTGTACACACTTTGCATTACAAGCACTTGAACCATAATTATTGCTTTGTGGTGGAAAGCAGACTTCAAGATTAGCACTTTGCACAAGAAAACATTTTTTTTCCCATTGATAATCAAGTTTAGAAACACATTGGACGATATTACCCACAAATATTTCAGCTGCTAGTGCTGCAAATGAGCATGGAGGCAATGAAACGGGAGATTCTGCCGCTCGATGACAGAATGCTACATAAGATGCATGACAAACTACACCCAAGCTGGTCTGATCTTAAACATCTCAAACCAGGTGACTTAAAAACCTTCTTGCATACATTTTGGTTTCAGAAATCCTCAACATAATGCTACGGCATCTCTGGAGATTATTTTCAGGAATGAAAGCTTATTCATCATGCCGAATTCGATCCGATTGAGCCCTCGCAGAACTAGCACAGGGATCCCTTTGCAAATTCATGGTTGCCTACACTAGAAAGCAGCAGGAGACGTTAAGATACAGATAATCACTGTAATATGTACCCCAGTCACACCCATCCCATCTCTCAGATAGCTAATGCCTCTAAAAATAGAAGCGTGTATACAACATACAGTGTTCTAGTAGAGGAAAGAAGGGAAAATTGACTTTGGTAGTATCATAAATGGTCTTTTTACAAATATTTTTGGCCCGTTTCCCTCTATTCCTCCATCTTAGCGTTCAGATATGGGCGGCTCCCACTACTCAGCAGCCAATTCAACTTGCGTGACAATGCCAAATGGGCCACCTTCACCTGTACATGACCCGGGCCTTCCGCACTGCTCCACAACGTCCCGTTTCACAATTTTAGTGCATGCTGTAGGTATTTATTTTGAGACTTATACTAGAGAGCCTGTATTTATACATCGAATAACTTACATTGAACACTGGAACCTTTTTTAAACTAATTTGAAGTTTTACTCCATTGAATCATTCCGAGCTTCAACTGGCACGAGAGCAAATCTCTTGATAACAAGGAGTGAACAGATGAGGCTGATGATCGAATCTCATTTAAAAGCGAGATACAGTACTGAAAATACATATGCACTGTTGAAGAGCTCAGGACAAGGAGGACAGCGAGGTGTCCACTTGTTCTGAAAGGTGTTTCTTTGGGGGGTGAGGAAGGATTCCACACGTCAATGATGTGTCAATCGGAACTCACCCCCCTTCCCCAGACCAAAGCGCAGGGAATGGTGTAGCTTTTGTTATGGGGGGTGAAGATCTCCACTCACATTACAGAGCAACTCTTGGCCTTCTCCTTTTTGAAGGTAGAGGAGAGGAGCTCGGACTTGCTGGGCAGGTGGAGCAGGCGTTTGGACAGCCGGCGGGTCGGGCTGGGTTTGGCGAGCGGCTGTAGCTTGTTGATGCAAGCCAGCGCAGCTGTGCGGAACACGCTGTGGATGCTCTTCTCAGAGGTGAAGGCTGAACACTCCAGATAAGCCTCAGCGCCCAACTGTTTGGCCATGGCAGAGCCCTGTGATGGGAGATGCACAAACTCAGTTTGCCATAGTTTCTCAGTCTTACAAGCTACAGTGTTTCAAAAGATACAGTTTATAAATTCAAAAGCTCTGTTCATGTTATCAATAGTCTACATAGGTAGTTGAATATTAATTCAGTGCACTAAGTAAAATCATTTAAAACAGCAATTTATGATGTTCTTCCTTCCTAAAATATAAAGGACAGCTATACGTTTACATGTAACCATTTATATCAAGAGAAAAATTTTATTAATATGCATAAATATTGAGCATAACCATAACAGCGTTGTATTAAATTGTCAGTGTACTGAAGCCATAGCAAATTATTTAAACATTATCTAGCAATAAATGTGCATCTTCTTTTAATAATAAACTATTTGTGTTATAAAATTTCAAAATATAAACACACAGTTCAAACATTTGGGTTGGTAAGATTTTTATTAAATATTTTTGAAAGATGTCTCTTATGCTCACCAAGACTGGTTATTTAAAATAACGGTTTCTATTTTAATATATTTTAAAATGTAATTTATTCCTGTGATGGCAAAGCTGAATTTTTAGCATTCATGACTTGAATGAAATTCTAATAAGCTGATTTGGTGCTGAAGAAACATTTCTTATTATCAACGTTAAAAACAGGTGTGCTGTTTAATATTTTTGTGGAAACTGTCATACATTTTTTCAGAATTCTCAGGTGAACATCAAAGGAAATGCATCCTTGCTGAATAAAAGTATTAATTTCTTTATACTTACCCCAAATGTTTGAATGTTAGTGTAGTTCAAATGCACATTTACAGAGAATACTGCCTTAGAGTAAGCAAGATCAATGTGACAGTGCTAAGAAACAACTTGCGGCTGTACCTGCTCATGAGTGATGGGTGTTTGTTTCTGATTGGACAGCTCCATCAGCGTGCAGACATCCGTCCGAAGGTCTGTCTTGCAACCAACAAGGAGAATATGAGTACTGGGGCAAAAGTCGAGGATCTCAGCCCTCCACTGTAAAGACAGAAATATGCAATTCTAAGATGAATCAACTCTTGCAAAACACAGAAAACACATATTGTTCTGTATAACTAGGGTTTTGCATAACAGCGATTATCATAATCTGTGGTTTTTGAGTGCCAAGCACTTCTGGCAAGTATAGTGTGATAAATATTGCAGCCCAAAAATGAAGTACAGTAAGAAAACAAAAACAAATGAATCATTCATAATGTCTAAATTAAACAGACTTACTTTAAAGATACCCAACAAAACATATTACAGTGAAGAAAGCACAACGTAATGATAAGCTCCTGAGAATCAGGGTCAGTGCTGGGATTGAATATTAATAGGAATATCTAGTTACCTTCTTAAGTCCACTGTCAAAGATATCTGGGCGACTGATGTCAAAACAAAGGAGCACTGCATCCGAGTCACTGTAGCAGAGGGGTCTCACATTATCATAGTATGGAGATCCTGAAACAACAGAGAGAGATGCTACTGAATAGGAAAGCACAATTCAGTGATGAGAGAAGAATGCTTTCTTTCTTTTAAACATGCGAGAGTTACAATTCTTTTGAAAAACATGATAAAATGTTCTTTCTGTTGAGCCTCAAGTGCAGTTTGAGTGTCCTTGACATTTTGTTAAAATAATAAAATGCCCAAGACAGATGAGAGAACAACCACCTGGTTTCACAACACATTTAACTTTCATATGACGCATTTCAGAATGAAGCTGTTGATTGGGCGCATTTGTCTGTGCCTGTGTCACCTTGTTTAAGTCAGCAGAAAACAAAATGTCATTTCAGAGGTGGAATGCTTTTCAATGTTACATTCTGATACAAAGTTATGAAAGCAAGCATTTTTTAGAATAACATTCATTGATAAAATCTCACAGTAAACAAGGAACATTAACAAAATAGTCAATTTTAGTTTCACATCGTCAAGTTTTCAATACATTGGTTTGGATAAATCAAAGCAACATTTAAGACCATTTCAAATGCTTTTAAAAATATGAATCATGACCCTGCATTCTGAATCACACAATAAAAAATAAATAAAATTAATTAAATGACTAATGAAACTACATTTTACACCATTTAAACTCTAGTAATAACTACATTCCATCCATCCATCAATCTATTATTGTTTGAATACTGTAAAATATTTAGAAGTTACCTAAATTTTATTTATAAAAACGTTAGTCTAAATGAATATATTCATATTTTAAAGATCAATCATAGCTTTTACTACCGAGTGCTTGTGTATGAGTCTTTAAGCTAGAATTGAAGAAAAGCAGATCTGATGAGTATGAATGTGCTGTATAAATCTGCAGCAGAATCAGACAAAGGCTGGAGGTACAGCTCCCCTGGTCATCACTTCATTTCCAGTCGGCTCAGCATACATCCTGTTAAAGCCCTCTTCCTCTCACTGCTTGCTATATTGGTATTTTAAAGGAGAAGAAAATGACAACTGAGCTCTAAATCCTCATTGATCTATGTGTCTCGCTCTCTCCCTCAATTTCTTTTTTCCAGTAGATTTTGCAACTGGAGCGATGGGGCTGGGGTAGGCACTTCCTCCCACTCTTTCTCTGAATCTTTAAGTAAGCCCCCCCCCCCATACACACACACACACACACGTACCCAATACCTCCAGTCCCCCTGTTTCCACAGCAACAGCCTTGGAGTCAACCATCTGCAGAGCGCCGTCTTCCTAAAGGCGTCCCTTAACTGCTTATCAATCATTTGATACAGAGCAGTGGCCACCCACTTGGTACCGAGGAGATGCTGGGGTGGTGTAAACAGCCTTATATACACCTCAATATTGCAGAGTCTCCTTTTCTGTATTCATTTTGCCTCTGTCTCCTCCTGAACCTCACATGTAACGGTCTTCAGGTCTTTGCATTAGTCATTGATACAAAAGTTAGGCCATGCACTGTAGAAGCCTCAAAGTTAGTAATCACTCCCACAAACTGACAACTTTCAACATTCGTTGAAAGAATTGCTCATAAGAGTCATGTTTTAAGTTTTAAATAACCTAACATCAACATGAATGTAAATGTATAAAGCCAATTTGCCTTCGTTTCATTATGGAGATCACTAGTTGAAACTGCAGACTATCTTTCTTCACTCTGAAGCACAGATCACTGCCTATTTTCTCTCTCCTACCAAGACATCACGGACACACAAACCTGAGCGTGAGGCTGCATTCAATTGCTGCTGATCCTAATGCAGCGATCGATGTAGATGTACACCTAGGGACTGAGGAGCAATTTCAATTAAACTTGACAAAATGACACATCCCAGCAGTCAGAGACAAAGACCCTCACATGATGAGCTTACCAAAACTCACTAAAACCACTGTTTGAAATCTGAAAAAGGAAACATTGAGGACACATCACTTTTGTCAGTGAGCATTATCTAACTTGAATCCTGTACCAACCGCAGTCTTGGATCACAGAACTGCTCTATTGAACAACCCTGCACACAGTGAACAAACCACAGCTCAGCTCTCAACCCTGGGCCACATGTTCCCCAGCTGAACAAGAGGATGTTATGCTGTCTGCGTATTAACAGACGGAGGGGTTGTGAAGCGTGCAAAAAAGGGTGGAAAAAAAAGAGCAGAGCAGAGCAGAGTTGCTACAATCGGAATAAATGCTTTTTGTTGTGACGCCATGCCTGGAGCAAAACTATCTTCGCTGAAAAGTGGGCCAACGTGTGCATGTGATTGATATGAGACGGCCTTTTCCTTGGGCGCAGGAAGAGTCTTGTGAAGAGAACAGATGGAGGTGGAGTGGGCTGCTTTTGTGCGCCACACCGCATTCCATCTGCTGAACCCTTTCACTCTCTGAAAAACTAATTTAGCCGTTTTACCAATGACTGCGAACTATGAATGTAACTGGCAAGTTGCATCAGACATATTCTGAAACATAATAAAATTGTTAAATACATACATATTGGTAGGCACATGAGTGTGCTTGACGTCACATGTTTGTTTCGTGGAAACGTCACTTAAAAGGTGATCTTTTTAATTTAGGAATGATTCATTTCAGTACTTATTAAAGGTGTTATGTTGATAGTTCTCATCTCTCATGACTAAGCCATCTCTGACAGTCTCAATGATACAGCGATAACAGATCCTGTCAATTATTATTGCTTAATGCTTTACTAAGGAAAGAAAATATCATTCAAGTGTGAATAAGATGGTATCATATAATGAAAATAATATGCCACTGTTTCCTGCTTCTCTACTCTCAATCTACAGTGACAGATCAAAATAAATCATTTTATTCAAGTGAGCGAGCTTGTGGTCTCTATTGAATATGATGAGATAAAGACTGTGTGCAAAATAGTGTCAGACAATACATCTTTTTACGGTGTTGTAGTTTGCTAAACTTAAAAAAGGTAAACATCTAGTGTAGTACTAGTAGAATTAAAGAACAAATAACAAATGATTATTTTAATGAATCACTCAAAAAGACTAACAAGCTATCAGTTTGAATCATTTTGATGAATTCACTTAATGAACTATTCCGCAAATCATCAGCATTCAAGTTTGACTCAAAATAAAGCATACATTTTGTGTACTTTAAATAGTTACTGATTATGTGTAGTTAAACATGTGCAACAAAATTACTTTAAAATGTTTTTTTTTTATTATTTTAATGAAAAGATTAACTTTCATTTTAATGTAGGCTATAGTTTAATGTTTTAAAATGCATTTACTAAAACATTAAAATATTTTTTTTGTATGTTAGGTGGGTAGATTTACAGAAATCTATATGAATTACTATAAGATTGTATCAAATTGAAAATGCTTCAAATAAATGAAAAGCAAATATTAAATGAAAAACTTAAGTTATAAAATGTTAACTTGGCAACTAACTGAAGACAAAGCTAAATATAAATATTAAAAATACAAAAATCACAAAATTACTAAAACTTATGCTACAAATAAAATGAAATAAAAGCCAATTATCAAAATATTATTAAATATTATAACGGTACATAAATACTGCATAGTAGTTGACATTTCAAATGTGGCACAGAATGAAAAAGCTGACTAAGAGTAAACTTCAATGCAGTGGAATCTGTGGGAATTAATCAGCACTCTCAGACTCATGTAAATGTGAGCAGGGGGCTGAGAGAGGTCAACGTTCACAAAGGAGCTAGAAGCAAATGAAAGCCCCTGTCCGTCTTCCCAGTAGAGATGATGAGAACAAAACCTAGAGCATTCTCCATATCCCCCCTCCCCCCTTTCCTTAAGATCCCAGAGATTCCATCACAGAACATGATGGGGGCCCAACAAAGAATCCCCCCTCTCTCTCTCTCTCACTGCGAGGGGCTGGCCATGACCCCTCAGGGAATACCATCTCAGAGCTACGGTGGTGTTTCCTCATTGGTGCCTGTCATCAACTGCCAATGGCCACTGGAGAGCCCATTAATCTACTGGCTGTTTTAATGTGCTAATGGAGCACTATTTTTACGCACATGATCTTGTGTAGTCATCCCATACCGAAGCAGAATTCATATTCGCAGAAATGTACATCCAGTGTAACGGCAAATGCCACCTAATCCATTGCTAATACCTCAATGCAAATTAAATATAACCTCCATATTAGAAATACAGACAGCCATCTTCTAAGAGCCTGCAGTAGGTCCAATTGGCTGTCGTGATTAAGTGATTGATTTTCACCTGTAACTCCTTTCTGGGCCTCAAAGCATGCCATTTGAAACCCAATGATGAAGTCAGCTCAATCAATGAGGAAAAGACTAATAAGAAGCCTCATTCAGAGAATATTACCAACCAGCATCTTACAGCCCATAAACAACATGCATATGCATATGCAAAACTGCCACGCTGTAAAATTATTCCATCATTATGTCATAACATCTTTGTTTCCATTTAAATGTCGTTTCTACTTGAGTTCAAACTAAATTTACTTCAGTACTAATTTAATTCAAAGTGACTGAAAAAGTGAAATGAACTAATTACTTTGGCACCGTTTTGATTTTATGCACAAAACTAAAGCAGCAGCAATTCAGCTTTTTACTGTGCAGTGTGCACTGAATGTAATGGAACATCATCTAGCAGTTCTGTATAAATATATACGCACATTGAAATGTTTGGGACCAGGAATTTTTTTAACAGAATTACTTTTCTGCAAGGATGCATCAAATTGATCAAAATCAACAGTAAATATATTTATAATGTTACAGAAGATTTCTATTTCAAATAAATGCTGTTCTTTGGAACTTTATATTCAAAGAATATTGAAAAGTCCACAAAAGTCAGCACAACTGTTTTTAACATTGAAAATAAAGAGAGTTTCTTGAGCACAAAAGCAGCATATTAGAATGATTTCTGAATGATCATGTGACACTGAAGACTGGAGTAATGGAATAGATGACATTTTAAACTATTAAAACAAAATAGGATTGTTTTAAATGGTCATAAATAATTCACAATATTACAGTTTTTACTTTTAATAATTACATTTTATATTTGAGAGTACTTTGACTTGGAATATCTGTTTGACTTGATGAAAATACAGTTCAAAATCTACAGCCTCAGCCATGATTAACGGCTAAAAAATGGATAAAACTCTGGTTTGCCCTCTCATCCTCATGCAAGCCAGGACTCATCCCCTTAAACCGTACTCTGCGATTCAGCTGGCTTGTCTCCAAGCAGACTAAATCAGATAAAAAAAGCACGAGCAAAAGACTGAGGCATATTAACAGCACATATTTCATTCAACAATCTGTACATGAAATCGCAATCCTTGCTTGCTTTCTCACTCACCGTCTGCCAATCTCCACTGCATGCATACAAACAGACAAACACATCACAGAAACCTAGTCCTATCACCCACACTTCACAGTCAGTGGACGGCCAGACATTTCTGGGTGCTAATTATGATGCTTCTGTTGGCGTGCGTTTAGCACACATCCAAAGACACATGAGATTATCATGTCTGTCATTTACTAGGGATTCAGAAATGAGCAGTGTGAAGCAGACAAACAGCACATTATAATCAGGTCAATAGGAAGCCGTGGGCAGATGTGAACTGCCTCAGTGACCACATAGGCCTACTCCCTCGTTAGTCTGCTGACTTTGCATGGCAGCTGATAGACAGACAGACAGACGTCTAGTCTCATGCCTGATGCATATTGCACAGAAAACTAGAAAACACTTTGTTGATTTGACAAGCACTAATCTGATTGGCTGACTTCACGCAACTTCCGGTATTAAGGGCATAGAGAGTTTATCATCAGTTTATCATAATTTGCTTCCATCTGAAAATCATGTTAACAAGGTACTCAACAAGCACTTTTGAGAATGAAAATGACAGGATTTTCTAAACTTTTACAATATTCAAGTTAACTAGATACCAGAGCGGTACAGTAAAATAATAATAATAAAATCATCTGTACTTATTACTTTTGAAACAGACAGAAGTTCTGATCACACGGAATTTGGTCCAGTGGACACTGTTTTGAATTGGTGACATTGATTTTAAACATCAAATCCATATAAAGCATGTAGAAATTTGTTTTTATGTGTCATTTCATTGCAAACATCTGTTGCAATTATTCAGCATTTACATCTTCCTGCACTGCTTCAGCATTTGCATAAATAATTACATTTGCGTTCAAATTCAATATTCTAATCAGGTAGTTTAGTAATCAGCATGACTGGATTGGCCCAACACAGTTCAAAACAAGCCAGACTGTTGCCATGAACAGAATATAAAACCACTACAATTTGTAACAACCATAAAGAGAGTAACAGAGTCGTGAAAACAAATTGTCAAGACAATGGCATATTTGAAGTCAATCACTGTGGTTTCCAATTTCTAATGTATTCTCCAGACAATTTCAAACAGATTATGAATGCACTCAAAAGCAAAATTGCATGAATAATATATATATTCTTAATATATTTTAATGTAATGTTTTATATATAATACCAGAACTGATATACTATGCCTTCTCCCCATTTCACATGACATTTCACTATAATGATACTGCTTCATTACATTACATGTACCATCCGAGTTGCATAACATGCACAAATAAAAATGTTACTGTGCATTTTAGTATTTAGTAACCGAATCACCCATTTAGTCTTACCTGATGTGTCCCATAAACTCAATTCAACACGCTGGCCATCGAGCTCCAGACAGGCTGTGTAGTTCTCAAATACTGTGGGCACATACGTCTGTGGAGAAGATGCAACATATTAACACCGATCAACGCATGTGATGCTGCATGTATGTGATGCTTACGTATCGTTCTTCATCACTACGAAAAACGATTTAATGTATGCTTTATTGTTATGCCAGTAAGATAAATTATATGGACTAACTCACTTGGTAACTAAAGCATGTTACAATGAAACTAACATGTATGAGAGAAACAACAGTTTGTTATTCGGCAAAACCATTGGCTCTAATGCTATAATTTTAGAATTAATTTAATAAATGGGCGTCTTTCAGAAACGCTGTAGGCTACTGACCTCTGGATAACAATCCTTTGCCAAAACCTGTAACATCGCAGTTTTCCCGCATTGAACATCCCCAACCAGCACCAGTTTACATCTGACCACCAGTGGCTGTGCGTTTCTTCTCTCTTTCATGATTTTGCGATATCCTCTAACCGAACAAACTAAACCAAAAAACACCTAAAAGAGACCAAAACGAGGATGCGCGAGTTCACAAACGTTTCTGTGCATACAACAACGCGAATTGCCCGCAGCCCAAGTGATTGAACAATGGACTGGGGGTTTATATATGCCGCACAACAGCCAATCAGCTTGCACCATGCTCATGACGTCTCACATTCTTCTTGCCTCCTCTCCGTCCGGAAACGTAATATTTCCCCGACGACTCAGCCTTTTGGGAAACTTTTGTCTCATCCTTACCGAATAAAAAAATTCCACTTAAATGCTAATTTTATACACGAGTTGTCCAAAATGTCCACACTAGGGTTGTTCTTTGATTACAAAAGACTATATATAAATAGATTTATAGGCTATTATAAATCACATAGCCTGCGAGAATAACAGTGGATATAGTAGTACACTGAATATCTGACACATACAAACTAAATCATGCCACTTGCCGGCTTTTCCTGCATATTCTGGCATCTTCATTGTCTCCAGAGTAATTAATTAGATTGTTTTCACTCCAATAGCCACAGACAAGAGGTCAATAGGGCTGTTCACATATCCTTGTCCTTCCGCCTACTGACTTTACTTTCACCTTTAATGATCTGTGAATTACCTACTTTCTTTAGGGGAAGACTTATGTTTTACTTTCATTTCCCAAAGTCTTTTGAATTCATGCATGATAAATTCCCCCCAGATGATACATCCCCCAAAATTTCAATGGCTAATTCTTAAACTATTAAATTATTCTGCCCTAATCCTTATAGTCGTGATTAAATTATCCGTTTCGACATGCATGTTTGGTTTAATTTCAGTTTTAAAGTCATTTTACAGTAAAGTCTCGCATGACTCCTCATAAAAATCCCCTTGACTAAAACCACGAAAAGGTTTGTTTACAGTACTAACTGACTGGATTATTGGACAAATTACTCTTTGATCCCTGTCTCTGTTTGTTTTGGACACACGGTAGTTTGATTAATGGTGGGTGGGAGGCAAAAAGTTTATTGGCCTGATGGGGTAGTTCAAACTCTCAGCCCTCAGGGAGTCTCAGAAGGCTAACGTGGTCTGATAGACAACAGGCACACAGAGACACTTTCAAGGTTATATTTGTATGTTAAACACCTCAGAGACTGAGGATAATTGGAGTAGACCTAATGTAAACACTTCCCTCTTCTCCCCTACTTGCAAATTCATTTATTCTCCAACCTGGAATTCTTCATCTTCACATCATTGAATGTTTTCAGAGCAGTACGTTAAATGAGCAGTACATTAAGATTTATCAAGTAGGCCTATTTTGTGTCCCAAACTTTTGTCCCTGCTTGTCCCATGTCACACTTCAAATAACATTCAGGATAAAATTGTGTGCTGGACTTACAATATTTTGTCATTAATTTGACTCAAAGCCCTTGTCATCTTGTCATATGTGCCATTCAATTTACTGAAGCAGTGATATCATTGATGAGGCTCGTAGTATCCTCAGCAGAGGTGGAGATCGCATGAAGTATGTATGAGAGGAGAATTCCCCTGCTGTAACAGCAGGGCACAAAGCACAGGAAAGCAGGTGGAACTGAATAATCAACAGCCCCGTGTGTCACAACACAATCTGCTGTTGGAGACAGAGGAAGGAGGTGCCAGAAGGTGGCAGTTGGGTTCCCATCGCTGTTTAACCTCCGTGGTTCATGGTCACTTGGCATCTTTTGCAGATAATTACGTAAGACAAAATAGTGTTTAAAGTCAAAGTACTGCAATAATGAATTCTTTTGATAATTACATAATTATAACATAATTATTATACATAATTATAAAAACTAAAAAAGTTTTACATTAAATTGAAATATTACACATTTTAAATTAAATGGTTTAATCATTATATAAAATCATTTAAAATATCTTTGGTTTTTCAGCATTTTGTATTTGAACCCTTTCCAACAATGACTGTATGTGATTTTGAGATCCATCTTTTCACATTGAGGACAACTGAGGGACTCATATGCAACTATTACAGAATGTTCAAACACTCACTGATGCTCCAGAAGGAAAAACGATGCATTATGAGCCAGGTGAATTGAAATTGGTGAAAACTTTTTGAATTTGAAGATCAGGCATTATTATATAAAATCATTTAAAATAAACTATTATTTAAATTATTTGAATATATTTAAAAAATATATTATTAACATTTTTGATTTAATGTTTATTTTATATTTAAATTTAAACATCCATATAACACACACACATTGATTTGAAAGTGAAATTTTGAAGTAGAACCCCCACCCCTGAAATTTAGTTTATATATTTTAGGATATAAATACAGTTGAAGTCAAAAGTTTACATACATCTTTCAGAATCTGCTAAATGTTAATTATTTT